TGCGTTGCTATCTTAGTTTTTAAAACAAATTTTTATCTTGGATATACTTATCTGATGAACATTAATCCTGAAAAGCACAAAATGTATTTAAGCATTATCTAATTGTATTGTCTTTTGTGTTTGATTTTAGTTCGTCATTGTCAGCTATATTTTAGAGAAAATTCAATCGTAAGGGCTGAATTCCCCTAAAATTGGAAATAAAAATGGAAAAAACCAAACGTAGTCAAATTTAGAGCGATTTATTGTTATTTGTGCTTAGCGATGTCTGGGAGACAATAAATTTTCTTTTCAATTATCTACGTTCGAGAAAGGTATAATAAAGTAACAGTATTAATAGCGTTATTATGCACATGCGTATCTGGTAATAACACTGTGACTTCGGTATAACAGAGTGCACTTGATAGTATAAACTTTAAATTAAATGTATATAAGGATTAACATTCACCAGGAACGCTCAAAGACAAATATTTTAAAGCCACGGATGTTTTGTCCAAAACATAACTGTTTAAAATAGAAAGGATGTGTACATGTATAAATTAACAAAACAATAGTTTTAGAGTTTATTCCATTGAAGCAATAATGATTCCTTGGTGAATTTGTGGAAGATTGCTCGTCTGAGTACGAAAAGTTGTTTGTTTGTTCAAATGCTGGCTTGACAAAATACTGTAAATTGTAATTTGATGATTAAACCCAAAGTATGCATCACTTGGTATTCAGATAAATCATTTATCAACCTATATTTTAATAATTGTTCTAAATTATCCTCACTGTTTATTATACTTTCGATCAGGTATATTTGGAATGAAACAACAAGCCCTTGAATTTACAAGCATTTACTATTTAGGCTAAGGTTGACAATACAGTACAGATGGAGACGTGATTATATAATATGTCATAATTATATGATTAAATGCAAAGACTACATCATATTTATCAAAACTTTCTGTGTAAATACCTACCAACTGTCGCCCAAACACATGGTCGCTAGACCAGGAAGTAGTTAGGGGTTTTATGCATGTTATGAGGAGTATCTGACTTTAAGGAGTGTGTTGAAATTTGAATATATAGCGGTTTAATATAAGGATATAATTCTGAAACGATGATGAATTTAATAATACTGGTGGGAATAGAATAGTGTTATTGTTGTTTAAATGTCTAAGCATCTTAATAATACGACTGGACAATTTGTGTCAATCGAAATTCTCTTTCACAATGACTGACTAGAAATTATTTTGCGACCTGCACATATAGTTCAAAGTAGCGTTGGTTATATTCTGTTTCAGGAATTTTATGGACCATCTACATCAGAAATTTTTGAATAATAAAGGCAACAGTAGTATACCGCTGTTCAAAAATCATAAATCGATTAGGCGAAAACAAATCTGGGTTACAAACTAAATTTAGTGTTAGATGCATGTTTTTTTTATTAGTTGTTACTGGCTTTAAACTAGCTACCAGTAACAGCAAGTACTCTCAGATCTGTACTCAGTGTCTTTTTTTTGTTGGGATGTACAAGTACCCGGCCACGTCCAATCTGTTTTTGTAAGATGTATTTCTTTTTGTATCCATCTGATGAGTTAAGCCTTTTTCAACTGATCTTTATAGTTTGTTCTTATGTTGTACTGTTACACCATTGTCCCAGTTTAGCGGGAGGGTTGGGATCCCGCTAACATATGTTTAACCCCTGCCACATTATGTATGTATGTGCCTGTCCCAAGTCAGGAGCCTGTAATTCAGTGGTTGTCGTTTGTTGCTGTGTTAAATATTTGTTTTTCGTTCACTTTTTTGTACATTGATTAGGCCTTTAGTTTTCTCGTTTGAATTGTTTTACATTTGTCACATGGGGCCTTTTATAGCTGAATATGCGGTATGGGCTTTGCTCATTGTTGAAGGCTGTACGGTGACCTATTTTTGTTATTTTCTATGTCATTTGGTCCCTTGTGAAGAGTTGTCACCTTGGCAATCTTACCACATCTTCTTTTTTCATAAAACCGAGAGAAACACATCAACTATAAAAGGAAAACAACGGAACAACAAAAACACTGAACTGCAACAAAAACAAACGCAAACATACAGAGAAACGGACTATTTGATAACAACTGCCATATTCCTGACTTGGTACAGGACGATTTGAGAAAAAAATGGTGGGTTGAACCTGGTTTTATGGCTAGCCAAACCTCCCACTTGTATGGCAATTTTAAAAATACCGCTAAAATGACAACATTACGTGACAAGAATACGGTACAAATAAAAGCAAGAACACTCAGGACAGAGAAATACATAAATAAATAATGTAAAGTACATAATAACATGTAAAAAGTAAAATAACAAAAATACCGAACTCCAAGGAAAATTCAAAACGGAAAGTCCCTAATCAAATGGAAAAAATCAAAAGCTCAAACACATCAAACGAATAGAAATCAACTGTCATATTCCTGACTTGGTACAGGCATTTTCTGATGTAGAAAACGGTGGATTAAACTTGGTTTTATAGTTGGCTAAACCTCTCACTTGTATGAAAGTCGCATAAAATTCCATTATATTGACAACTAAGTGTGAACAAAACAAACACACATAATAAGTAAAAATGTCAAAAATAGGGGTACTGCAGTCAACATTGTGATATAATCTTTTAAAATCACTATAAAATATGTCAACAAAGAAAAACAAAAAGGCATATAGACAAAGCATATTAGTAAAAACGAATGACAAGAATACAAAAATTTACCATTATGTAAACCACAGAATAACAACGGACACCTCCCATGAATTTACGACAGTACACCAGTTCACCACAAACGAAGTATAAATTGTGCTTCACACGAATGTATCAACGCCTCAAAAATTGACGTATTTTTGTGACGTTTATATTATCACAGGTACATTTCTAAAAATAAGATAGACTTGTAATGTAGACACGTGCAAGAATATAAAACTGGGATTGAGATAGTAATGGAGTTATTTTATGTATTTTGTAACCATGACAGAGTATTGAAATGAAAATGTGTTTTAACGGTGTTATTATATGTATTTTCTAACAAAGTAGGTTTTCAAAACTGTGTATAAACAAAAAAATCCTGTTCATATAGTAGCTTTATACTTACAATCATATAAATGAAACAGCTGATTTATTATCGTAACTTTTACATACATGTAGAAAATAAAAATAAAACAACTGTAATATAAGGCAAGATGATGTAGGACCAAACAGTAAACACACTTGAAAACAAACAACATAAACAAAATCAGTGTAGACGAACTACGAGTAACTCGAGTATACTGACAAATAAGACAAATGTGAAATGTACCGAAAATACAGAATTTATGCCACAAACGATAAGACATAAAACAATCTAACCAGACTTTCAAAAGAAACATCATAAATATATACATGAATGTTGGATAAATAAATTCCGAGAAACGTCGTATAGCAATGCGAAATCACACCTGAAAAAACAGTCATATTCGGGAATAAGTCACGTTCGGTACTCAGCAGACCAGACGATGTCGATGGTAAACCACAATCTAAGACGTGGTAAAAATGTCGTAAGTTAGTTTAGACACAGACACATTGATAGATCAACCAATTCGAGATGGTGTCAATAAAATTTACGGAGTGTCATTTTTAATCTCTCCTCCTAATAACTCTGTTGGAGCAGTTTTTTGCGTAAGGAGCAAACTCCTGTGTATGAAGTCAGTATAGTGTAAACATGCATGATCCCAACGTATCAATTGAGATATTTAAACACCAAACGATTGGACAGAAGGTATGTTACTGCTGAGAAATGGGAAATTAATAATATGAAAGTTGAAATCATACCGTTGTCATAGATTTTAGTTTGAAGTCCATCCGTGTCAATATTGAGGAAAAGATCATGGTATGAAGTAGTCCTTTTACATGTAGTATTGGTAGTATCCTTAATTTCAAGTTCAATGGGATATATGAGATACAAGTATTGACTGAAATATTGGTTATTTAGTGATAGGACATCATCAGTATATCTGAAAGTAAAATTAAAGAATTTGACAAGGTGCTTTTTCTTTTTTTTTTGTCTTTTAGAAGGTTCAAAATGAATTCTGCTTCATACAAGTACAAAAAACAAATCGGCCAGTAAGGGTACACAATTAGTACCCATTTGAATACCGACTGTCTGTTGAAAGATCAATCCTCCAAACTTAACAAATAGTCCAGCATTTTGATAATATCACTGAAATTTTCTAAAGTAAAACATTTGAAACTCAGTAAGACACTTTTGGATATATCGTGGTGGTCAGCTATTATTGACGGAGAAAACCGGAGTACTCGGCTAGAAAAAAATGCCTGGGAAACATTTAAGTTGCTTATTTTTCGTCTTTTCCTTCATTTGTTGTCTTCACTGGAGACATCTTTTGATATAAAATGTGACCATTGTGTGTATCTAATGTATAAAATGGGTGCAAAATGGGTTTTCTGCAAGCAAAATTCAAAACGGAAAGTCTTTTGTCAAATGGAAAATTCATACGCTAAAATACATCAAACAAATGGAACATAACTGTCATATTCCTGACTTGTACAGGAATTTGCATATGTAGAAAATGGTAGATTAAACCTGGTTTAATAGCTAACTAAACCTCTCGCTTATATGACAACTCATCTTAAAAATCGCGATCGTACATAGCTCCCTCCCCTCACAAACACCTGAACTTTTGTTTGCATCAAACACCTCATACAATACCTTTATTAATGAACTCATCATAGATCCAAGGATTGTACGCCTGACGCGCCCTTCGTCTATAAAAGACTCATAATTCAAACGGCCAAAGAATGTAAGAAAAGCGTCGAGGACCCCAAAATTTCGAAACCCAAACTCAAGTCTGTATGACACAAAAAGAATACAATAAAAAATATTAAGAGATATGCGAAAAAAAAATTGTACTTTAAGTTTTGCAAAAACCTTTCAGTGAATTTAAATCTATAATTGGAAATGCAGTGCTAGTATATTTATATTTTAAATTCACTTCCTAACCTGAATGGCGTGACATATAGTTGTGAGTATTCCTTTCTGATATTTGTAGACTTGTACTGAGGTTTAAGAATGATTTCTTACATAAATGAACAGAGGACTTTTGTTTTAAGAATGTGATATGATGTCAGCATTCCATTATCAACAAGTTTAGATCCACTGAAATTGACGAATCACCGTTGGTAGATTTAAATAAACCTAATGATATATAAATAAGTGTGTTAAAACGAGCATGGAAATTTTGTTACTAGGTAAATAACAATTATCAAACATATAATGCATTAATCTCATTTTATTCATAAGTATTGACTCTTTATTTCATATGAAACAAAATAAATGAAAACTATGATTTGCAGAAAAATAAGCTTATTAAGAAGTAAACAGTATATTTTTTTAATGTTTGTTTTAACATAAGTGTATTGTATCGTCAATATATTTTAACTAGCAAAATATATTTTGTCGATTACGTCAATTGTCAATTCATACCTCGTCACAACTGAGAAGAGATTAGAGGATCAATGCATTTATTTTAATAACCACTCAACCAAATAGGATCATTGAATCACTCAGTCTAAATTAAATGCCTGATAAACAATTTGTTCTTATAGATCGACTTGACGTCGAAGCATAAATTTTTTTGTACCATTGATATTTTTTTTCGGAGTATCAAGTTTCAGATTCACTTAAGTAGAAAAAACCAGACAGATATTTCATTTTCCTCAGACACGAACCTACACGTGTAGGAGGCAATTACGTATTAACATAGTTTGATACGTAAATGTATTGTAAACAAGCTATTTTCTTTAACAAGTAAAAGAAAGGCAATACGTGAAACCAAAACCTTTGACAAATCAACAATAATTGGTGTTATTTTCTAGTTCGCCAGGCTTAAATTAAACAAACGAACTATGCAATAAAACTCAATACATGTATCAGAAATGAGATTGCATTGTAAGAGGAGCAAAGTTTTATTATCGAATGTATAACACTTATAAAAAATCACTTAATCTTACTGCTTAATACATTATGTCTCATTCTCAGGCATTATACAACAAGAGGCTCTTAAGAGCCTGCGTCGCTCACTTGTATATACTGTGGTTTTGGAAAGCATGTAAAATAAGGTTAAAATCATAATAAATAGTATTAGATACCCTAATAATGATTGAGAACAAGTTTGGTTTAATTTGGCCCATTAGTTAAATTAAAAGCAGGTCATCCCATTGTAATCCTACAATAGTTACTGAAGACCCCTTATCATTATTTAAATTAGTTTTCAAGTTGTGACCATTTGAAATTGTTTTTTTTAAATATTTTATAGACTTATATATGTTTTATTTAGCCATGTCTGCCATGTTGGTTGGCAGGCGGGGTCATCGGACACATTTTTTAAACTAGTTACCTTAATGATGATTAGGGCCAAGTTTGGTTTAATTTGGCCCAGTAGTTTCAGAGAAGAAGATTTTTGTAAAAGTTAACGACGACGAACGACGACGGACGCCGGACGCCAAGTGATGAGAAAAGATCACTTGGCCAATCACAGTCATTCAGCCAAACATACTAATATAAATCAATATACAAAACAAGAAATATGATGATAATATAAAGCATTATAAAAAGCCATTACTTTAGACTGAGCAACACGAACCCAACAAAGGGTAAGCAGGGCCTGCTCCACATGATGCACCTTTCGCGTTGCTAATGTAAATCTGATTCCCGTAATAAGTTTAATTCGGTTGGTTACATTCGAGAAAACGAGGATGGAGTTATGGTTAAAATAATTTGAACATATCCGTTATCATTCGATAACAAATCTAGACGGAGAACTTCAAAAATTACATTTTAAATTTTATTTTAATTTATATGAAACGGCACGAGAAACACGAATCAAGGCTTATGATACTTAGATACTTAGAATACTTGTAAACATAGGAGCATGGTACCTGCAATTCAAAGGTTAAATCCTAACTATCCCACTTCAGTAACTTCGAGTACTCTCAAATCCTACTTTCGTGTTAATTTGACCTGTTGACACAGTTTGTATGCATTTTTGTTATTCAATGTTTATTTATTTCATGTTATATGTCGTCTCACTATTTTTAATATGTACCACCTTTAATAAGTATTTAGTATGACGATAAATTTTCACTTCTATTCTCGTACTATGAACAACAAATTTATTTATTTTGTAAAATATATTTCCGTACTCCTAACAAAAAAAAATATTATATTTGAATTTACCTGTGTACGTTATTTTATTTAACGCCATTTTGTACAAGGTTATAGTTGTCTTTTTGACATTAATATTGTATTTATATTGTGTCATAGATCAAATATATTCGTTCAGTGTATGTGTATGTTCACTTGTTTTGTTAATATGTCTTTTTGATTAAGTTTAGCCTTTTCAGTTGATATTTTTAGTGTGTCTTTCTATGTTTTAATGTTACACTACTGTTCCAGGTTAAGGTGAAGGTTGGGGCCTGTTAAATCGTTTAAACCCGTTGCATTTGTTTGCACCTGTCCTAAGTCAGGAACCTGTTTTTCAGTGGTTGTCGTTTGTTGATGTGGTTCATAAGTGTTTCTCGTTTTTTATATAAATTAGACCTTTGATTTTCCTGTTTGGATTGTTTTACACTAGTCATTTTGGGGTCTTTTATAGCTTTCTGTTCAGTGTGAGACAAGGCTCCGTTGAAGGCCGTACTTTGACCTATAATTGTTTACTTTTAACACATTGTGACTTGGATGGAGAATTGTCTCATTGGCACTCATACCACATCTTTTTATTTCTATGTTCGCATGATGTTAATAATAATGTGACCGTTTAACGCTGACATTCAGTTATTAGTGACTTCATCGCAGGCTATCCAATATCACATCACAATCGCATCTCCAAGTCATACAATCAAATCTCTATTAATTTGCTTTGTATATTAAAATATATTAATGTGGATAAGATAATGATGTTATGACACCTTATTGTTTATATTTAATTGGACAAGTCTTGTTGAAGGTAGTAAAACTGAATTGATGTTTACTGAACAAGTTTATTAGAGAGTTTTTTTGTAACTATAAAAGTCTATACATTGGAAATTTTATAGAAAAAGTAAGACATAGAAAATCGGATCACGTACCTGTTGTTTCATTGATAAAAAAAACATGAAATCGTCCAGTGTCCAGTTTGATTGTATACATGTAAGTGAAAAAAATGAAAATTTACCTTTTTTTTAGATTACCAATATATATATATATATATACTTTTTCACTCATTTGGTCTTTTGGAAAATGTTGTTTGTGCTGTATTTAGACCCCTCTACCACGAAATTTGTTTTGCATGCACACGTATAAAAATTGCAGTTTTTATCCAACGCAATCATAGGTTTGAACGTTGTTTTCAATTTAGACTTGTTTATATGTTTTCGTTTGGGCTTGTATTATATTTGCCTTCGGGTTTATATGATCCGTTCATCCTATTTTGACTCTTTCAAAATTCAAGAGTCTATCCTAAATTGAGGTAAATTATATGGCCTTCCAAATACCCTTTCGATTCCTAACATCACTGAAGAGACATTAATTGTCGAAATCCGGATATGGTGTACAAAATTTTGCACCTCATGTTTGCGGTATACCATCTTTTCCGCAAGTTTATTGTTTTCTGTTTGGTAATAAATTAATAATAAGATATATTTTGTTACATCTTGTGATCCGTTTATTTGGCAATCGCCAATGGCAGTCAGCAGGGTTTAAGAACATCAGTTGTTCGACCTGCTAGTCAAATGCGTTTTGTTAAAATATACTTTTTCACTCATTTGGTCTTTTGGAAAATGTTGTTTGTGCTGTATTTAGACCCCTCTACCACGAAATTTATTTTGCATGCACACGTATAAAAATTGCGGTTTTTATCCAACGCAATCATAGGTTTGAACGTTGTTTTCAATTTAGACTTGTTTATATATATATATGTATATATATATAGATTTTAATTATTCAGATGAGGACTTGTCAACGAAAATGAAGTATCAAATATACTGATTTATCATACGTATATAGTAAATAAATGAGAGTTTTTTTTTCTTCTTTACATTTAGTATAGAATGAGGATAGAAACAAAAGTAAACAGTAACGACAATATTGAGTAGGGAAAAAAATTCTTGAAATTACGACCAAACAATATTTAACCAAATAGTAGCTAAAATTTAAAAAAAAAACTTTTATGTCTGTATTTGCATGATTTACCGGACTCTCGATGACGTCTTTTAAGCAATAGAAATTCAACATAACTTTTGCAAATAGTTTGTCAAATTCGCATTAACAAAGCGTAAATTTATTTATAAATGATTCTAACAAAACTATTTTTATAATACTGCAAAAGATATCGTCATGATTAATTCAGTGGCTTGTAAAAAATGTGTTTAAACTAACCATGGAATAGCAAACATCGAATTCCCTCACAAAATCTTATCCCACACTTTTCACCCCCCAACTCTTCCCGAAACTAAAGTTGTTGGGGTACATAGGAATCATCGTGTCCGTCTGTCTGTGTGTTTGTTCGTCACGCTTCGCGTCCGGCACATAACTTTTGTACCATAAAACTTAGTTTAGCAAATTTGGTATGCACTTGCACCATGGGCAGAGGGTTGTCATACACGAAAGTCAGGTCACTCTGCCATTGTCTTTGACCTTTAACCATCATGATAGTACAAACTTGTCCAATTCGTGTCCGTCTCATAATATGTTGTACCTTAAAACTTGGGTTAACCAAATTTGGTATACAGTTGCATCATGGGCTTGTGGTGTCTCATATACCACAGTCGGGTCTCTTTGACCTTTGATCCCCATGATAGTAAAACCTTGTTTGATTTATGTCCTGAACGTAACTTTTCTTTCATAGAACTTAGGTTGACTAAACTTGGCATGCTGATACATCAAAGTACATGGCATAAGGGGTGTCTTATGTCAAACTCAGGCAACCTAATCTTGAAATTGACCTTTGATCTCTATGATAGTTGAACTTTGTCGGATTTGTGTTAG